AAAATCACTTAGGTGACTTAGGAATAAAGAATCCTCTTAAATCTTTTATTTTGTTATTAAAATTAAAATGGCAGTATTTTTTTTACATTCTCACAGATTGAAGAAAATTAAGCAATAAAAAAGTAAAAGGAAAATTTAGAAACTACTCAAATCTCTACAACTCAGATAAAATTCCTATTAATATTTTGGTAGATATTCTTCTAGACATCTCAGTATACACACAAGCACATGCACTCTCAGAAACACCTAGTTGTACATAAAAAGATTAATACAATATATGACACTATTGCTTCTCCTTTTTTTAAATTATCAAACGTTTATTGAATTGGATTGAAATAAGCAGCTAACATGATCACTATGAGGTTAGAATTGTTTTTTTTCTTTCTTTTTTGTGAAGAAGATTGGCCCTGCAGTAACATCTGTGCCAATCTTCCTCTATTTTATGTGGGACACTGCCACAGCATGGCTTGGTGAGCAGTGCTAGGTCTGTGCCCAGGATCCAAACTGGCGAACCCCAGGCTGCCAAAGCAGAGTGGACAAATTTAACCACTATGCCCCTGGGGTGGCCCCTCTATTACTTGTCTTTGAGGACTAGACATTGTTTTCTATCCACTTCTCTGTTGTTTTCATGTCAATAAATAGATATGTGCATCTTAATTTTTAATGGTTACATGATATATTTTATACTATACTTTAGTCTCCTGTTGATGTTTAGATTGCATCTTTTTTTCCCTCCGTTATGTGTTCAGTTAACATCCTTGCACGTTAGTCATTTTGCACCTGTACAATTATCTTTTTAGGACGGAGTCATTGAAGTCTGATTGCTGGTCCAAAAGGTCAGTGCTGAAGTATGTTAATTACCAAACGATCCTCCAAAAGTGTTACCTCATTTGAAACTCCCACCAGCAAAATGATAGAGTGCCTGTTTTTTCACACTTTCCCAATATTGCATTTTGTCTTTCTTAAACATTGACAGATGATCAAAAATTTGTCATTGCTTAAAAATTTGCATCTCTTTGATTATTAATAAAGTTGTACATATTTCCAAGTGCTTTTGGATATTCTTATTTCTTCTTTGGTTAATTGCTTCAATATTTTTATTGGGATTGGTTATCTTTTTCTCATTAACGTGTAGGAGATCTGTCAATATTGGGATATGGTTATTTGGACTCCAGATTTGTCATTTGACTTTTAACTCTGCACATAGTGATTTTTAAATTAAATTGAATGTCATTTTGTAATTTGTTTTTGTGCTTAAATTTTCATCAAACATTTATCAGTATGTCATTTTGTAGTTTCAGACATTTGTATCATGGTTAAGAATGGCCTTTGTCCCTCAGGATTACAGAAATCCTCACCTGTATTTCCTCATAGTAGTCTGGGTTAATGTTTTTACATGATAATCTTTGTTTCATCTGGGATTTATTTTTGAATACAGAGAAAGACAAGCCAGTTTTATTTTCACCCCAATTGCTAGCCAGTTGTCAGACTTCATGAATATTTGACCTTTTACTACTGACTTAAAATGACTCTTAAATTTTCTTATATTGAATTCCTTTACATGTTTGAATCTGTTTCTGAGACCTGTTGCATGGATGTCTCTATTTCTGAATAATTATTATTGAGTTTTTATTTCTTTGGCTTTATATTATTTTTTATAGGATAACTATCCCTTCATTTTTCTTCTTTTTCAGATTTTCTGTCTATTTTTGCATATTTACTTGATGAATTTAAAAATCATTTGGTCAAACTAGCAAAAGCCCTGCTTGGGTTTTCAACTGGAGTTGTATAATATTTTTAGATTAATTGATGGAAAATTAGCACTTTTAGAATACTAGGTTTTCTTATTTTAAAAAAAGGTTCTTTGTTTCCCCCATGGAATCAAGCATTTTCTTAGGTCTCTCAGTAGCATTTTATGTCTTTTTCATATAGGCCTTGGCCGTGATAAAATAGTTTCCAAGATATCTTAATTTTTTGATTGTTGCAGTGAATGGAATTATTTTCTTCCATAATATTTTCTAATTGTTAATTTCTTAAAAAACCTATTGACTTTTGTTTATTTATTTTATTTCCAGACACTTTAATGAGCACTCATATTTTTTTCTAATCATCTTTTGATTAATTTTAGCCTTCAAAAATCTCACCAAGTTCTACCCAGGAGACTAAAGAAGTAAATATAACTACTTTACTATAGAACATGACTTGAGACCATTAAAGAATGGAGCCTAAAATAGGACAGTTTATGGAATATAATTTGTATATCAGGAAGGACCGAATATGGACCAATTCATCACTGAAATGTAATATGGGCCAGACTAAGTATATTAGAATGAATAAGCATGCTGTTCTTACAAGATTATTTAATATTCTGAGATGAACTTTGGTACTCAATCTCTCAGGATTAATCTTTGTGAATTCTATAATATTTGTGTGAACAAGAGAAAGGCTGTATTTAATTAAGCCTGAAAACATAAATCTCTGTTTCAGTAAGGAAAATGTCAAGGAATCGAATGGAAAACTGAACTGACTTTTTCAAGAATAGTTTACCAGCGTGTGAATTCCAGGCTTGCTAATTTTTGCATACCTCCACAAATAAAATATAACTTCTTTTCTTGTCATGAGTAATCCTTCCTCCTTCCAGCAAGCACCTATTGGTCTAACTACCCAGCATCCCCACGCCCCCATAAGTAGGTGTAAAGTGGTCTGACATTGCCATCTGGTGGCCACCTGGGGAACTGTGTGAACTAACCTCGCTCCTGTTGGACGTCCAGTCTGGGTTGGTGTCTTGGAAGCCAGATCCAGGCTTGGGAACAAGTAATTTATACTCCTGGCTACAGGCAAAGAGAGAAGATAATCAAAGTCCAAGTCTTGGCAAAGGCTGCCTGGGGGAGCTGGGAACCAAGGAAGGAGCCAGAAGGCTACGTCCACAGGAGGTGGGAGAGAGCAAAGGCTAGGTCCAAAAGGAGAGAGCTGCTAAGGAGTTCCAGCAAGAAAAGCTTGGTGAGAGCTCCTGAACCAAAGCAAAGAGAGGGAGACTTTAAAAAAAAATTTTTTTAAGAGAACCTCTGCATTCAACCTCAGAACAGGGATCAGCTTTATTGTGGGCTTCCAGTCAGTTCCAACCCTTTCTTCACCGGGGTTCCTCATCTACATTTTTCCTTTCCTTTTCTTAAATTGTTTTCCTCATAGCTTAAAACTCAGGTAATTGCAGATAATTCCACAGAAGGTAAAGCTTACATCATACTTCCCTTCTCTCGTTCTCTTTTCCGTTTCCGCTCTTTCTTCCTCCTCCTCCTCCCTTGCTCCCTCTCTTCTTTCTACCTCCTTCTCTCTTTTCCCTTCCTTTTCAGCCCTTATTCTTGCATTCTCTGGAAGACGTCTCCCCTTCTTGTCCTTCACTCTATTTGGGAGCCAAAACATAATTGTAATTACAGCTGATAAACCTAAGGCTAGTGCCCTCCGGTCAGCTTCCTCCAGGAAAAAGGAAGGCAGAGGCTGTGAAATAAGGATCATTGCTACCAACACCTGACTCCTTGGGCGGGATCAGGAGTCCCTTCAGCATTACCTTGAGGCTCAGTGCTCCCATCCAGCCCCTACATGATGTCCCCCTGTGCCTGCATTCAAGATTTTTGTCTCTTTTCTTCTCTGCCATATCCCCAACATTTAATCAGCACCTGGCATATAGAAGGAGCTCTATTAATATTTTTCAAGGGAATGAATAAATATTCTCAACGAATAAGCAAATCTGGCTTATTCCTTTTTACTCTATTTCAGTTTTGCCTTGTAGTAAAAGTTGCAGAGATGCTAATTTTCATTATGAAAGCATGATTTTCGACTTTTGTGGGATAATTTAAGCATAGCACAGGAGGATATTTCAAGCACAAAAATATATTTTTTAAAAATTCCAACCTACCAACTGGCAGACTTTCAGAAAATAGCCTCTTGTTAAGCTAGGGACTCTCTGTACCTTTTCGTGTTTCAAGAGTGTATCTTTTATATACATAAATGAAGTAAAAAACCGACAAAATGACCAGCTTTTACCTGTCTTGGCTTCTTAAGTGCTCTTTGCATCCTCCCCAAAATAGAAACTAAGACTGTTAAATACAGAGGAGATAACAGCTTTGGAAAGCTGAAAACTATTAAGCATTTGGAAAACATCTTGCTGTATACGTTTTCTCTGTTGGCTGAGTCTCTTTTGCATTACAAATCCTTGATAACACAGACGGAGAAATATTTATTCTCTCTATAGAACTAAGCACAGAAACAAATGGGTTTATTTAATATTTTTCAGAGTTGTGCCCTTTCTTATGATCCTTCTCAAGATAGGAGAGACGAGGCAGGCTGTTTTTAGTTTATAGATTGTTCCTCTGACATTCCTGTTGTGTGAGAAGTTTCTGGGGGTAAAAAAATCATCACTTGCTACTTTCCATTCCCAAACCCTAGGGTTTCCTAAATATCTCCCCAAACTGTGTAATCTTAAAGAAATGCTTTCACTATAGTGCACATGGGAAGTTAAAATGAATTAGAAGCTGGCCTGAATTAAGACAACCAAGGAGATGAGTGGGTGTGTAACATCAGAGTGTGGTCGACCTTGGTTAATTTGTGAGGATGTGTCACAACATCCCACGTCAGGCTTGACATTTTATTCCTGGCGGATTTCAGTGGCAGTGTCATGGGAGAGGGCAAATGTTTACTCTCTAGGTCACTGACTACGTGGAATATGAGAAGCTACAAGGTATGAAAAGACTAGTGTTATAGGCAGAGGGCTCTTAGACTGAATTGTGGCGGTGCCTCCAGCTGACTGTGTGACTCAGAATAAAATTGGTAACGTCTCAGAGCCTTGGTTTACCTTTCTGCAAAATGCGAATAAGGATGCCTAGGTAGAGGGCTGTGGGTGAGGCTTGGAACTACCAGGTATAAAGCTCAGCGTCTGGCTGCTGCCACTTCCTGGTTGATCAGTGTGATCACAGTAGTCCCATGTTCTTCTGTTTTTCTCCTAGGTACCTTGGGATCACGAGGCCGCTAACGTACCCTGTGAGGCAGAATGGGAAATGCATGGCGAAGATGATCCTCTCCGTCTGGCTTCTTTCCGCCTCCATCACTTTACCCCCGCTCTTCGGATGGGCTCAGAATGTCAACGATGACAAGGTGTGCTTGATCAGCCAGGATTTTGGCTACACGATTTACTCCACCGCAGTGGCATTTTATATCCCCATGTCCGTCATGCTTTTCATGTACTACCAGATTTACAAGGCCGCCAGGAAGAGCGCCGCCAAACACAAGTTCCCCGGCTTCCCTCGCCTGGAGGAGCCGGAGAGCATCATCGCCCTGAACGGCATGGTGAAGCTCCAGAAGGAGGTGGAGGAGTGTGCAAACCTTTCGAGACTGCTCAAACACGAAAGGAAAAACATCTCCATCTTTAAGAGGGAACAGAAAGCAGCCACCACCCTGGGGATCATCGTCGGGGCCTTCACCGTGTGCTGGCTGCCGTTTTTCCTCCTCTCGACAGCCAGACCCTTCATCTGTGGCACTGCCTGCAGTTGCATCCCGCTGTGGGTGGAGCGGACATTTCTGTGGCTGGGCTATGCAAACTCTCTCATTAACCCTTTTATATATGCCTTCTTCAACCGGGACCTGAGGACCACCTATCGCAGCCTGCTCCAGTGCCAATACCGGAACATCAACCGGAAGCTCTCCGCTGCCGGCATGCATGAGGCTCTGAAGCTTGCTGAGAGGCCGGAGAGACCCGAGTTTGTGCTGTAAGGTCATTTATCACCATTTTCCTTTTATCCCCCCAACCCTTTCATGGAACTTCTTGAAATGTATTGCAGAAAGCTTCCTGAATCAGTGGCTAGCTTCTTTTCTACTAAGCACATCAGATTTGAATTCAGAATGCTATGGACTCCAGTCCTCCATCCAGTAGAATTCCAAAAGCCAGAGATAGGTACGTGGTTGGATTGGAAGCTGACACAGGTTTGCTGGTGAATTGCAGTTGATGTGATTGATGACAAAGGAAGTGATGTTTCCTGTCCTTTCTCCATAAATAACATCCAAATTGTGTCCTTATATCTCCACTTCTTGTAACATTATCTTTTTCATTGCTATTACTCTTATATCCGGTGAAACTTTTTTGATGACCTCATCCTTCACCGATAAATTCTTTTGAAAAAGGAAGCAAATCCACACAGGCTAGAAGGAAGCAGCCTGGGACAAAGGGGAGTCGTTCGTGTGGGGAGATGCCAGGATGAGGCAAAGACTTGAAAAGTACGGAGATTTCAGGAAGTGCTGTCCCTCTTTTTTAGGAGTTGAGAACTGATAGATAGATCATTGTTGAGTTTGCTTAGGAGGCATTAGTGACTTTCCAAGTGACTGCAATAGGATGTTGGGATCTGGAAAAGGATGGCAAAGGGCCAATGGGGATAAGGAAATGGACGTTTCACCTGTAACCCGTATGTTAATGAATTTGGCATTGTACAAGAGACAGTGAGTAATTACAGTCGTTAGCAGGTCAAATCAAGATTTTGCTTTAAATTTGAGGTAGAGGTGACATCTTCATGTTTGAAAGCTGTGGGGAAAGAAACTGAAGTGAGAAGATGGAAGGTGCTGGTGAGAGAGAAAGCAACTTAGTGTTGCACATGAGAGAGGAGGAGATTGCTCTTCCCTGAACCTGGCAGGAGGGAATAGATCAGAGAACGCAGACCACTCTAGCTGAAAAGGACCTTTCAGTCATCTTGTCCAAGCCCTTCATTTGACAGAAGAGTCAACTGAGACCTGGAGAGTGAGATGTCCCACGGTGAGCTAGTGGCATCACCAGGTCTAGATCCCACATCATCTGAATCTTACATCTATACCTTTTTCATATATTAGACTTCTTTGTGTATAATACATGTGGCAAAGGGCACCTCTATGCTCCCAGCTATCTCAGGGGAACAGCCCTGCTCAAGGAGGGTAACAGAGTGCCCTCATGGATTACAGTAGACTCCAGAGGCTCCAAACCTCAGACACTCTCCAGATGACTCTGGAAACCTCTAGGAACTCAGCCTGTTCTCTAACTTCACTAGAATGAAGCAAGCAGAAACATCCCTAACAGAGATTAGGGAAACCAGAGATCAACATTCTTGTCCTAGGAACTCAAAATTGTAGGACTACAGATATGCTAATTCTTGACCTGAGTGTAACTTTCACAGGTATTCATTTTCACTTTTATTATATATACTCTTTTATTATATATATACTCTTTTGTACATATGAAATTGTTCACAATAAAAAACTCAAAAACATTTTTTAAAAGAATGCAATTTTTGGTTCTGGAATATGCACTAGGAGCGATCTGTCTTCCCAGGGATCTTTCCAGGACTGTAACATTCTTATTGAATTGACCGCAAGTGTTTGCCCCCCAGATTCTAAATCCCTTCTGGGAAGGAGCTGTGTCTCAGTCAGATTTCTAGTTGCAGAATCTAGTACAGTTCCTGATACATAAGAGAAGATAAATGTAACTAATAATCGCTAACAATTATTGAACATCTACTACATGCTATACATCTTTCTACCTGGAAAGTAGGTGCTTCTAGCATCCCCAGTTTTCAGAAGAATAACTGAGGCTCAGGGCCATAAAGGACCTTACCCAGGATCACATGGCCCCTAAGTGGTGAATGCGGTATGAATCACCCCCATGCATGTGCTCTTAACCATGTGCAACACTACCTGTCGGCTGATTTCATTCTGTAGGCAGCGAAGAGCTATTGAATGTTTTTGAGCTGGGCATTGTAGCCATCAGCTCTCTAAGAAGACAATTAGAAAAACTTGTCAATAGAAGTAAGTTAAGTTTCTTAGACGCACTGCAGCGTGGAAGGGCAACTCCTTGACAGAGTCTTGGTAGTTTCTCAGATGGAGGAAAGAAGGAAAGGATATTGATAGAGCTGCAGGGCTTGGGCTGGGTGATGTTAAGGTGGGGAGCCCGTGAGGACTGGGCAGAGTTTATGACACTATAGCTTTGCATCGGTGGGGACGGCTAAGTGAGGGCCTTGAAGCCAGTATTAATGAGCAAACTACTAGTCTTGATAAGTAAGCTATTTTAGTCGGTGTGCAGTCTCATCTTTTGGAAGCAACTATTTCCTGGAACACATAGCTCAGTTATTTTGCCTAGTCCAAAAGTTGTTTAGCACAGGAACAGGAAAGCATATTGGTTTCAGTTCTCAGGTGTAACGCGCTGAGAGAGCTGTTTGAGGAAAGTCTCGCTGGCAGCAGTGAGAAGGGTAGAGAAAGTAGAAAGCCTGGTGACAGGAGGTCTAGTTAAGCAGCCAGTATAGAAACTAGGGAAGGGCACATGAGGTCTTGAACTAGAAAATACCACTATGTTTGTATGCCTCCTACACAGTCAAGAACTGGAGAATATTTTATTGATTATTTTAGCTAATAATTCACACATAATTCACAAAATGCTAATTTTTTAAACGTCACACAAAGAGGTTTTCCAGTTTAAAATAGTAATCCACATTTATTGAAGATCCACTCCCAGGCACTATGCTGAGCACTCTCTGTGAATTTTATCACTTCATCCTTAAAATTTTATGAGAGGTTGGTTTTCTTCATCTCCATTCCCAAGATGACAAAACAAGGGCCTGGGGAGCTCAAATAATTTTCCCAAAGTCTTACCTGTAGGGACTATTAGAGCTGGATTTGAGGCCAGGATTTGAGGAAATCTGTGTTCAAAAGGACTTTTCACTTCCTTGCTACTGTGTCTTTTATAAAAGTAAATTAACATTATGTCTAAGGATATTTGCCTCTGTGTCTGCAGCTAGTGTGGAGGCTTGGGTATTATTTTCCTGTTGTCTAAGACAGGGGTCAGTGTCCTTTTACTGTGAAGGGCCAGACAGTAATATTTTAGGCTTTGCTAGCCAGAGGTCTCTACTGAAACTACTCATCTCTGCCTTTGTAGTGAGAAAGCAGTCAGACACAAGTAACCAAATGAGTATGGTGGTGTACCAATAAAACTTTATTTACAAAATCAGGCGGCCAACTGGATTTGGCCCACCAGTCATGGTTTTCTGTCCCCTAGTCTAAGAAAATGACGATCCCTTCAGTAAGTCTCTCTTTATTTGAATTTTATAATTATTTTATTTATAACTATAGAATATTAAAGTCATTTGGGATGATTGGCCTAAATATTCATTAACTTTAAGAAATTTCTAATGAGAGAGTTGGAATAGCTGCTGTTTTTAACTTCTATATCAGGCAGGTTTCTAGTCAGTTGCAGTGTGGGAAGACTCTTTTTTAAACTCTTGTTTGTAACTGTGGCATGCATTGAGAAGGATACAGAAAATACGTGATGTCTTTCCTGTCCTAGTGCAGATATTTCTGTTGGACAGACCTCGCATAAACACACACATATGCACTGTGACCCTTTTTTTATAAGAACAAAGGAAAGGTGGAGACAGGAAAAGCTCTAGGACTCAAAGGAGAGGAAAATAACTGACAGCTTACCCTAACCCTGGTCTGGGAAGACTTCCTGAAGGATATGGGCTCAAGTATGTCTATGAAGGCGGTCAAAGCATTTATAACTGAAGGAGAGTAGCAATGGCATTCCAGGTGAAGGGGACATTTTATGTAGAGGCACCAGTGTGGGACCTTATGCAAAGGACAGTCTGGCTGAAGCTAAGCATTGGTGTCGGGGAAGATATGGTGATCACAAGTTAAGGTAGAATGACATTGAATTATGAAGAGTTTTTCCATTCTAGCCTCAGGAAATTGGGATTTTAGGGTAGAAAAGTAATTCTCAACCAGGGGTGATTTTGCCCCCAGGGGACATTTGACAATGTCTGGAGACATTTTTGGTTTTCACAACTCGGAGAGGGGAGGACCTACTGGCATCTAGTGGGTAGAGGCCAGGGATGCTGCTAAATATCCTGTAATACACAGGCAGGCCCCCACAACAAAGAATTACCCAGGCTGAAATGTCTACAGTGCGAAAGTTAAGAAACCCTGGTGTGGACAATAGTAAGCCATTGATGGAATCTCTGCAATTCGGAGAATGGAATCATGAAAGCGATGAAGAATGATTCAGTGGCACCATGTGGGATGAATCAGAAGGTAGAGGCTGGAAGTAAAGAGTCTCTTCATTGGCTTGTTTTCTCTAGAAACATTTGAGGGCCTACTATATATGAGGCATGGTGTGAAGCACATCAGGGAATAGAAAGATGAATAAGTGACAGTCCTTGCCTCTGGAAGCTCACAGTCCAGTGGGCTGGGGGGACTGTAGACATGGTAGTGGTCTCTAGTAAAAGACTAGTGACCAGAACGCCCCACATAGTCCACACTCTGCACAGTTGCGGTTAAATAAACACCAGTTGGATAATCCAGAACAACTCATAACTCTACTGGAGTCTCTGGAGAAATGACCTGGCATCCAATCCATAGTTCACGGCAAAACTTAGAACCCTTTGCTCCCCACACCTACCTCTCTAGTGCTCATACCTCCTGGGCCAGCCTGGAGACTCGGAGCTCCTCCCACTCATCTCTCTAGCCCTTTCCTCCCCTTCCTCCTGCTTGGGTTCTAGTCACTTTTACTTTTGCCCCTACCTCTGCCTTCTTAGGTCTATTTTTTCTCCTACATAATAGTTTTCTACCTTTCCTGTGTAAATGATCTTCTAGACTGTGTATTGCCAGTTCCAAATATTTACCCATTTCTTCCCATTTTCTTGATCAGCATAACAAGAGGCTCAGGAGTCCAGCAGGTGCTTAGGAATCTTCCTCGGGGTAGGGAGTGAATAGAGAGAAAAGGCTATGAATACTTCACTGGCAATTTTAATTCACTACACTAAATAATAATCTTTGTCACCTTTTCACAAGTATTCAAATACTGGCAATATAAAACCAAGGGTGATAATGTGGTATAAGCAAGGATTCTTCCTTTTCTTTTTAATTTGGTGACCATTTATGGATTTACTTTGAATTGGCATAAATTGCTTTTTTTTTTTGAGGAAGATTAGCCCTGAGCTAACTACTGCCAATCCTCCTCTTTTTGCTGAGGAAGACTGGCCCTGAGCTAACATCCACACCCATCTTCCTCTACTTTATATGTGAGATGCCTACCACAGCATGGCTTGACACACGGTGCCATGTCCACACCCGGGATCCGAACCGGCGAACCCTGGGCCCCCGAAACAGAACGTGCACACTTAACCGCTGCGCCACTGGGCTGGCCCCTAAATTGCTTTTAAGTGTGACATTTTGACCACTTTTGTTCTTCGATACCAATATCGTGAACAATATGGAAAAGTGGTTTCTAAAATGCATCCATGTAAAAGAATTGCATGAGATTGTTTTGGGGTAGCTCTTCCTTTCCCTCTCCCTTCTTCTCCTTGCTGGTCCTATTGTCTTTCTCTTCAAAGAGCCCCTAAAGATCCCTGTCCAGTGCCGTGGTGAGTGGGAGCACAGTGAACTTGGGTTCCCGCCATGAGGTCTGTCGACATCCCGCTGCAGCGTTTGTGCTGAAGCTTTAGACTTCAGGGTGACTTTACCTTTTCTTTATGGAAACAAGTGATTAAAAAAACGAAAACGAAATGGGTCCCAGTGGGAATTGGGATGAGGCATGAGGGCCCCTGAAGCCCTGGTATCTGCGGTGGGATGTTGCCTAAAGAGGAAAACGAACAGAAAGTTTACTATTTCATGGATTTTTTTCACCCACAGTAGCATTTTCCTCATCAGGAGCTAGCTGGAATTCAGCACCTTATTTTTATTAAATCATCAGATAGTAGTAATAATAGCTTTTTTCCTTCATGCTTTGCATTTGCCTGCATTTTAACTTTGCAGCGTCTCTAAAGTAGGAAAGGCAGGCAACTGATCTCTCTTGCCTTTTCCAATGTTTTTTGTTTTCTTAGGAGGTAGTAAATACACATAGCATAAAATTAAATCAAGCATACAGATGGGTATACAAGAAAAATAAGCCTTGGGGGTATGTCTTAGGGGGAAAATATCCACGGTGGAAATCACAAAGGAGGTAATATTTGGGGTGGGTCTTGAGCAAAGGGTAGGATTTTAATAAGAAGGCATGGCAGAGGTGGAAGTGGGAGTGGGGCTACTCAAAGCAGAGGGGATGTATGGACAGAGGGGCACAGATGTGGATGGAGATAGATCCGGAACCTGGGGCAGGCCTTCAGCAGTACCTGGAAGCTGGGTGGATTGCGATCATCATGGAGGGCCAGGTGGGCAATGTGGGTGAGGGGAGAGATGAATGCTTTTGAGCAGGAGTGAGGTCAGGATTGCTGTGTAAATAGGGGCTCACAATAGGAGGAGAGAGATGGGTTAGGAGACCAACGTGAAAGTGAGGTCTCCTGTCAGGATGGCCCACAATAGGAAGGTGGCCTTGAGACTAGGAAAGAGTCCAAAGAAGTCCAGGTGTTTGGAAGTTGACTAGCTGGTGGGTGGTGAGGAAAGGGAGGCTTTGGAGATGGTGCTATGCCTTGAGGCCTGGAAGCATTCGGTACAGTTCATGAACTGATGTGAGCAGAGCAGTGCTGGGCTGCAGAGGAAGTGCAGTCTCTTCTCGGTGCTGAGAAGAGGCAGAGGCCCCAGGCTAAGAATAAGAGTGGAGCACCAGTGGGGCCACAACCTGTTTGCAGTGTCCACTCCCAGAGACCCAGAGCCGGGGGTCTGAGCTGAAGCACGATGCTTCTCTTCAAGTGCCATCATGTAAGGTGAGGGACAAAGCGAGAGTGGTGTCTTATGGAGAAACTGATCCTGTCACCAGGAAAAGGCATCCGTCGGGTCTTGATAGCTAAGTGAGAGGGGCTCTTTCGATGGGATGCCGGGGCGGGGGGCGAAGGCTGGGGCACAGTGCCAGGCCCCAGAAACTCATAGACGTAGCTCTCAAGCACATGGATGTAGCTTGGTAAGTCGAGTCCTGTGAAGGTACAGAGTTAGGGAGTGTGGATCTGGGGGGAATGTGGCCCTACACCAGGGAGAGAGAGACTTTTCCTCAGCCGTTGGCCAAGACTTCTCTATGACTCATGGCTCTTCTGTGAAGCTGGGAGGAAGGAAGTGATGGAGGAGGGGTTTCCTGCTCTGCACACACGGTTTGCTATAATGCACCCTCCTAGATTTGAAGGGGAGAACACTTCTCATGAGTAGTCATCATTGTTCTTTTGAAGTAGGGCAAGTGCAGTAGTATTTTGCAAGCATTTTTGAGACGTGAGCCATTTTTGGCTACAGCTGTATTATGAAAGTGAATTTCTACATGGATTATCTGGGTCTGATTTGCAAATATATTAAGGCCCTGGCAACTTACAGAAGCTATAAAATTTATGAAAAGAGCCACAGCACTTTTTCTTTCCATTTAGAGATGTTCATAACCCCTTAGAAGACGCAAATGATTCAAATTACTGAATGCTATAAAAATTAAATCCACCTACCACAAAAAGAAACTTCGCATTTATGGTTCTGCTAAATCATTTTCTTGTCTCCTCTCTCTCTCTCTTTATAGACAAAACTCTGACTACTGTAGAAAAAAAAGTCATGACTCATGATGAAAAGTGGAATAATGGAGACGAAATAAAAAAGGCGAGACAGGTGGAAACGGGACGAATCATTCGCTGAGACTACGGAACGGAACTCGGCTTCTGTCCTTTCTTGGGATGGCTAAAACGTGACAAGCAGGGTGATCTGTCGTACAAAGTGTATTAGGAGGGAGATGGTGACCTCTCCTTTTTTTCTGTGGATCCGTGCTATTGTGTGCAAATGAAAATAGTTCTCGGTTTGAGACAGCCAGGTCAGCCCAGCCGTAAGCGCACCTGCAGAACTGAGTTCCAGAAAGGAAACGGTTTCTGGGGCTTTGCTTATGTCTGAGTCCAGGGAAGTGGAAGAAACTTCCAATGCACACTTCCCATGCTTCTGAGTGGAAGCATTGTGGTGGATATTCAGGAATCGTTCATGAGACAGAATGTCTCTTGTTGTAGGACAGAAGGGAGGGTGTTTTTCCAAGCAAACCGCGGTAAGCCTAGTGGCGAATATGTTGCATGTCCATGTTAGAAAACAGAATCCCGTCATCAGCTAATACAAATGATTTCCCAGAGTAGTGTCTGTTTAAAGCTTCTGTCAAACAGTTTGGCTTTTTTGCAGGGTCCCTGTGACTTCCCCAACAACGCACTTTCTTTGTTAAGTTACTTCTTGTTATGGTCAAACTCAGGAACAGATCTCAGGATGGAGAGAATCATAAAACCAGAAGAAAGCTTTTTCTCGCACTCACACTTCTTCTGAGGGGTCCTGAGAGGCGAGGAGGATTCCTTCTGGGAGGATTTTTACTTGGGCAGAGAGCGAGTGCTACCTAACTGCACTGTACATTAACGTGATTACTGGCACAGAACTTTTGACTGTCGTTTACCTGTGGGTGCAGTGGGCCCACGGGCTGGTCCGTAAGTGTGTGTTTTTTGTATGGACGTATGGGAATAGTGGTGTTTCCATGAAAGGTTGTGATGCTTCTGGAGATGGAGCATCAACATATTAATTCTCTTTGAGCAGCTTTGTATGAAACTGAATTGGGTGAATCCGAGGTTACCTGGGCCTCTGCTGGGAAACGCTCCAGAATACCATTCTGTTCCTTCTAGAGGATTTGTTTGTGTGTTCTCTGTATCTTAAATCAAATGTGTGCCTGGCCAATTCTGTTCTTCTCCCGTCTCCCTCTCCAAAGTGGTAGATATTAAGGGCAGGTAAGGAAACAGAAAAGGTCCCTTTGCAGACAGTATTTTTTTAAGAAATGGTACTGTGATACATATGCGCGAAAGAGATAGAAAGACATTAGAGCAGAAAAGAATACCTCTAAGGGGAAAAAAAAGAATACAAACCTTCATTTGATAAAAGAGAACTGAAAGAGAATGTTATTTTCCTACAATAAAGGTAGCTGTTCTCTCGCAGGACAATGTGGAATTCCGACGTGGATTATGGATTTCTTTCAACTGTCGCTGACATTGCTTCTTACAAGACACAGGGGAGGGGCTGCCTGTCCTGGACGGGGAGGTGGGCACTGTCCTGGCAGACAAAGCTTGTACAAATTCCTGAACCGCAGATTTGCTAAAGTGACTGTATATACTTAGATTCATAATTTAAATGATTAATTCTGGTCAGATAAATGTTGTTAAATTTGGAACTGTTTTATTACATTACATCAAATAAAGTTTATTTATAGCTGTAATAAAGCAACTTCAGTAATGATTTTTAATTGAAGGTCTTATGTCATAAGTGTTGCTGTATAGAGAATAGCAGAAGGGCAAGCTGTATATATTTGCTGAAAACTTAACAGGTAGTTAAGACAGTTCTGTGATTAATTGCGTTTCACTGTGAGGATTCATCCATTTTGTAACTTTTTGTTTTTAAGAATGACTGTTCAGCCCTTGATTTGATTAATGAGCATTTACTGGGCTTCTGCCACATTCAACACTGTGGGCATCAAGAAAAAAATGGGTAAAGCAAGTCCTTAGTTTTGAGGAGCTTGCCACCAGATAGAAGGCAGACATTTCTCAGATTGTCACCATAGAGTGTAGTAAGTGCTATAGCACTTTGCAGGGCGTGACATCTTTCTTTCTTGTAGTATAACACAGGGCAGTATGGTTAATTAGATGGATGAAGGTTTTCAAACGTCTCTAATTTTTTTAGGACCTTATATTCAAATTAGCTCTTTATCCTGCCTGCCTTGAACACCTGAGTATTGAACTCGCTGCTTCATTCTGGCTACGGGGGCTGGACGCTGACCACTGTGCATTACATGTATGGCAGCCAGACGAAAGGAAAAGGGAGGCATTGAGGGAGAATGAGAAAAACATCAAAATGTCAGACAATTTATACTATTTCACATATGGCATATTTTGTGCCAAAGGTACAGCTTTTGTTTTAACTGAGATTTGGAAAAATCACTGATGTAGACATTTTACATATATTTTATGACTATTCAGCAAGAGTGACTATTATGACTAATCTCTCTTCTCACTCTAGTGTATCAGCTGTCATCTTCTGGGAAGACTGACTATTGGGAAACGCTTTTGGGGAAGTAAAGTACTTGTAAGAGATACCTTAGTGACTCTTTCCTTAGTGTTTAGTTTTATTCTGTAAATATCAAACAGTAGGCATCCATAGAGGTCCCAGGTTTTCTGGAAACTGTTTCATAATTCTTAAAGTGTTGACCACGGTGTCGTGTGCTTGAGATGCTTGTATGTGTTTTTGGTGATTGTATTTTCATGCAATTTTATTAGATTTTTTTGATTGCAAGGCACGAAATCAACAATACAAATAGAAAATTCAGGCAATTTTTCAAATAATTTATGCTCATGTAATAATTGTGTGAATTACTGTCTGGAGATGGTGGGAATTTTCCTTTCAGTATTTTGATTGTCAACTGAGTCCTCAGTTTAGTGGATAGAAGTATTTACAAATCCCGCCTTTTTTCAAAGTCCACGCTCTCTCCCATCTCAGGACTTTCACACATGCTTTCTCCCTCTGTCTGGAATATTCTTCCTGTTCTCAATTATTTATTTAATGTATGTCTTCATCCCTGTTCAGTAATTCTTCAAGGGCAGGGACCGTGTCTGTTTTCCTCACCTTTATGGCCAGCACGTAGCACCATGCTTGGAACATATATTGTAGGCATATACTTAATATTGCTTAGGAAGGGAAAAAAGAGGGAGGGAAGGAAGAAGAGAAAGGCAAGGAGGAAGGCCAGAGTTGACTTGGCACCCTTTTTGGTTTTCAGATGAGGAAATCGAGACTTGGTGGGATCGAATGACGTGTGAAGTGAGTGGGAGAGAAGGAGCTGGAATTAAGCTCTCCTGTGTGCAGCTTAGGCAGGCCCTCCACTGCCTGGTGCTGCTTCTTTTGCATGAGTTTCTCATATCAAGAGAGCGACCTTTTTGTAATTTTCTGCACTAGTGGAGCAGAGCTGTGTGTGTGTTATGGCCCATATGTTGAAACTTGTTTATCTACAGCTAGCCAGATGGCCCTTAGCAGCACACAAAGAAGCCATTTGGAAACTTCCAGAGGGTCAGCACATTCTGAAGGCACTGGGAGTAAGGCATACTGTGATGTCATTCCTTACTTACTCTAAGTGCTGTAAATCAAAAAAGGAAGCCCTCGTTAGATACTCTGTGTGAAACCTGCAGACCTTGAGAACTAACTCAGGGGATCCGTTCCTAGAGACAGGAGTTTATTTAATTGGATATCTCTTTGAACTTGCTTTGTCTACACTTCCTCTAGAGAAGAAAAGTAATTTCTTAACTTAAAATACTTTGCTTTTTAAGCTCTTGCTGGCTAAAACAAACAAACAAAAAACCCCACCTTATGCAGCACAAGCAGCAGAGGTGTGACGTGATGTGATCGGCAATGGAAACGTAAAAGCAAGCTTGAGTGTGGCTCATCTGGAGCACGCTCTCAGAGGAAGGGAGGTTGACGATTCTCAGAAGTAGACTTGCAGATAACACCTACATTGGGCATTTGGCACTCTTAAAAAAGCTGAGTTGAAGGAATTAAGACATCTTTTAACTATGGTTCCCTGGATAGACACACGTGAAATCTTAGATTCTATTGAAGCTATAGCATTTGTGCTCAGAGATTATGGAACAAAAGGAAGGTAATGGACAAGAGGTATTCAGGAGACTATAAAGAAATGGAAAGCCTAATCCATGATTCTTCCTCTAAGAAATTCATTCATGCATCCATTCACTCAAATAAATATTTATTAATATGTCAGAGACTGTCTAATGGCTAGAATCCAGTGGTGAGTAAGACAGAAATGATACCCATTCTCGTGAAACTAAAACTTTAGTAAGAAAGCTGAATGTTACACAAGTGATTATAATAAATGTGATGTGTATTATGAGAAGGCAAGTACAGGCGTTTCAGAAAGAAGCGCCTACTTCAATATATTGATATAAATATTGAAATCTCAGTGGAGGAGAGAAGTGGTAATCCAAAATAGCAGATGGTAAGAAATAACTAGAGTTTATCTCTGAAGTGCACTGTGTAGTATTTTTGGTGCCAAATTACCTTTCTTAATTACATTTTGATTGGGCTATGATTAAAATGCTCTTTATTCTTTAAACCCACACAGTCTCCCAGTAGGAGAGATGTACAGAGCTCGGATGAGAGGGAGCAGAAAGTCAGCTGTAAATATAAAAGTTTGTCGTGGATAATTCACAATTCACAGGTGACTAATTCACCTGTAGGAAAATGAGATAAACTGTCCCCACGGAGCACTGCAGAGCTAGAGAGTCTCACGGATGATCCAGGACACCCCCCTGCTGTTTGGAGGTGAGAGCATGCTAAATGAGAGCTGCGTTTTGTGTGAATCTGTTTAAAAGAGTGTGGCATAGAGCAGTGCTTTGCGAACTCTCTTTGGTGAAGACATTTTTTTAAATCTGTTGCACAGCTATGCATTTGCAAAATATAATAAAAATGAATTACAGGAAAAGTGAAGTGGAAAAAACATACAAAATATAAGTTTGGTTTTTTCTTCTTAGGTTCAATAGACATAAAGTTACATTTTAGTGAGCATAGTCGGAACAAACATAACATGGAGAAAAAGAAAAGAATTGCAAACAGCGACCATTGTCCACGGAAAGTGTGCAGTTACTCAGGTGGGGAAAACCTAGCAGTTACCAGGCTGAGAAATGACTGTAGCATGATCATTACATGTGTGGGACACCGAGTGTGCAAGGCTCTTCCACAGCACGCTGGATGAGTGTGATGGGGGCAGGCCGTACTGCTGGGAGGATGAGGACGTCAGGAATAGCTCGCCTCTGAGAACTACACCAGGGGTGCTAGTGGTGCAGAGGTTACCTGCAGTCATGAATCAGAGCCTTTAAACTCAGCCTTCCCTCCGTGTATCTGCTCTTTAATTATCTACAATTAAATTGAATCCAGAATGCTGATCTAAAGGCACTAAAAGGTATTTAATTTTTAGAATGACTATATTAACTAAATTGTTCTTCAATAAGGCCATGAAAGAGACTAAATTTTGACAGTGTCAACAACAGTTTGAAGATGAAAGGCTGTGATATTAGCAAGGTTAATATCAAGTAACCACACCATCCTATATCTTAAACCCAGTGTTTTCTAAACTTCACTCTCAATAAGAATTATCAAGGGAGCTTGTTAAACATGAAGATTCCTGGCCTCTATTTCCAGAGATTCTCGTTCATTATGTCCTGGGGTGCAGTGGAGGGTGAAGAGGGCATTTAACCAGACTACCGGGTAATTCTGGTACAGCTGCTCTGGGTTCCAAATGTTGAGAATTGCTGCTCCCAAACATGCTGGCAAATGAAATCATCTAGCTGATTCTGTGTGCAATTAGTGTAGAAAAGTGTGGTTAATATGAAATAATATCTTACTCACTTGTATATGGTTATAGAATCTTGTCAAAGAGATAAGATGCTCACTCACTCTCTCTTACATAGCCTTTAGTACTCACTGCTCTCTGTTGGCACTGAAAGTCCAGCAGCTTGTGGAAGATAATCCACAGATCACCCCAGATAGTTTTCAGCAATATTTAAAGACATGCGAATCTTAGGTTTATATGAAGACCTGACTAATTCCTACATTATTGAGTAACTCCTGGTGTTACCAAATTAATATTAGTGCTAGCACAGGGTCAGCTGAGAATCAATATATCACATTTCTGTCCCCTTGGCCAAGCAGCTGATCAAATGTTTGTCCACAAAACAAAGATTAGATCTTTGTAAAATATGTGTTGAATATTAGCCATGGAGAATGAGATGTTGATCTTGGCCAAGATCCACGCTTTCACCGTTGGGGTGTGTGTGTGTGTGTGTGTGTGTGTTATGGCAGTGGTTAATACAGCTCAGATTAATTGAATGTTTATTACTTATCAGTCATTTCGATAATTATCACAGCAACCCTAAAAGGCTACTTTTATCCCTATTTTATGGGGAGGGAACTGAGGCTTATGGAGCTCAAGGACGTTAACTTGTAAGTAGCAAAACTGAGCTCTCCAGCTGATATGTACTTTTCATTACATCTTCCCTTCCATTCCGTAAAAGCATCTAAGTCAGTGGTTTCTGGCTGGTTTTGTGGGCCTGGAAATATGCATCTGAACTCTGAGGGGACTCACTCTGGGTCTCCAAATACCTCTTGAGTACTGCAAGGCAGTTGTTCAAGGTTAAATCCCAGATAATTGTGAAGGGAGCAAAGGTTGTGATTCCTGC